TCGTACAGCTCCACGCGGCCCTCGCAGCCGTTCCTGCCGCCCTGCAGCCGCACGCTGGCCCCTGGCACAAGACACAACATCAGGTTTCCCACATCCCTGTCATCCACAGCCCTCACCTCCCCACTTTTTTTTGCAGATTTAGCCCCTTTAGTGACTTTGGTTTGAGGTGGTGCAAACCTTAAGAGACCAAGAAAAGGGAGTGAGAGAGCAAGACCCCATGTGCATGGAAGCCAGATGCATAATGAGCAAGGATCTTCTGGGTAATCCCATGAGAACAGCCTGGGGGTCCTGGGAGCTGCTCAGGGCATGGGGGCATTTGCCAAAAAGCCATTTTTGGGCTCTATGATGATGGGACATCCCCTGAGGGGTACCACTCATATACCTGCAGATGTTTGAGGCTATGGGCCCTGACAGGGTATCCACAATGGACTGGCCACCTTTTCTTGATGACTGCAAAGAACAACTGTGACCTGGCATCAGGACAGATAGCTGTGTCTTGGGCTGGCCTGGCAAGCACATGGACTTGAGGAAAGAGATTGCCCTCATCAGCTTGATACTTGCTGCCCCAGCCAGGAGCCATGGAGTGTCTGGGCTCGGACTCGGCACCACTGCAGCTTCCATTGTGCTGAGGCTCAGATGCTCCCTGACAGAAGCCCTCAAATGACAAGACCCTTTGTGACAAGACCCCTTGATGTGGGCAGAAGGGACCAGCAACATTGCAGTGAGCAGGCTCAGCCCAGCAAATCTCCTCTCTTCTCCTCTTGGGGCAGGGTGGAGCTCACTATAGAAATGGAAATATGCTGGGTGGGAAGGAATTACCTGTTGTTCCTGGCCATTGATCAGGAGGGGTTGGATCGGCAGCTGCAAGGAAAAGAGGGAGTGAATGAAAGAGTACTAAGGGCAGCAAACTTGTGGCAGTGGATGGACAGGGACATGGACATGGACATGGACATGGACATGGACATGGACATGGACATGGACATGAAAATGCTAGGCTTAAGGAATAAAGGGAGGAAAGGGCACGGAAGTCCTGCCATTCCTGTCCTATCCAGACACCAGCCTGACCTCCCCAGTACAGCCCATGCCATGATCCCACAAACCTACTCTTTGCAACCACACGGAGCACCTACACCTGTGAGACTGGAGGGCCTGTTATGCCCTCTCTGTGCAAAAATGGGGACTTTGCATGACAGGTATTTCAGCATCGGGCAGCGGAAGACCCCAGGCTCTCCTGTCTGCTCTGGCCCTGCATGGCTGCTTCCCATGGAGGACACCTGAACCCGTCCGGTGTGAGCTGCTGGAGAGCTGCTGGACTCTGCTGGCCACCCACCTGCACAGATGACACTGGCATCCTCCATGTGCCCGCAGTTGTGCACACCCCAGCCGTTGTGCCGGCACATGCGCAGGGAGGGCTCGTCCCCGCGGCACTGCACGTCGTCCAGGAAGATGTGGCCGGAGCCCAGGCCAAAGTGGGCAGTGTCCAGTGCAGCCACGGCCTGGCCACAGCCCAGCTGCCTGCACACCACCTGGGCATCCTGCAGGTCCCACTGGTCGTCACACACCGTCCCCCACGTGCTGCCGTCGTACAGCTCCACGCGGCCCTCGCAGCCGTTCCTGCCGCCCCGCAGCCGCACGCTGGCCCCTGGCACACGGCACAAGGCACAAGGACAAGCTCACGCCAGTGCCCACATGGGACTGCAACAGGGAGCCTGCAAGGCTGCTGCAAGGCTGGGCATGGAGATGGGAGGCTGGAATTACCTGTGGAATATGGCCCGGATGTGCTGGGTGCTGGAGCTGTGGATGCAAGGAAGAATTTGGTATCAGTGACAAAGGTTCCAAACAGAGTCAGCACAATGTCATGCAGATGAGAATAGCACATTTCCTAGGAGCCCCTGGCCTATGATTCCTACAGTATCCTGGAGAGTTCTTTCACTCATCTGAAATGACCGTCGTGACTTTGCTGTTTCACACACTGAACAGTGAGTGGTGTTCTCCCTTTCTCTCTTGCAGTCTATGTTGTAGTGGTCACCTCTGCTGAGGTTGTTGTCTCTGCTGAGGTTGTTGTCTCTGCTGGATCATTAATGCTGGTAGAGGGGGTGAAGTTCTGTCCAGTCATTTCCCATAGAGACACCAGCCCAAAGTGCCCTGAGTCCTTCCTCAGCCTCCCAGCTCTGTGATCCCTCAGTTCTGCTCTTTTCCACCTCTCTGAAACCCTATTCCTGCAGGCCAGGACAGCCTGCTATACTCTCTATGTGTAATCAGGGCTTTTGGTTGGCACATGCTCAGCTCACTAGGCTGCTGCTGAAAACACCGAGGTTGCTGCTTTGCCCCACATCTACCAAGAGAGGTCAGATGTAGATACACAGTTTGGGAGCTTTCCCATGGACTGCCTGAGAAGTACAAGCGTTCTCATAAGCTTGGAGAAAAACAGAAGGGAAAGAATCTCAAACAAATATGCACCTGTTATTATTTACAGAATGTGTATCATGAGAAATTGTATTGTATATGGTAAAAACATCTTACAGGAGGTGTTGCTCACCCTGACCAATGGTCTGTGTTCTGTTCTTGAGTTAGTGTTTAAGTATATTTAAGCAGCGTAGTGTTACAATAAATTTTGTCTCTTTCCTATCTTGAAGGATGACCATGTTGCTGTGTGCTTTATTACAGCTGTTCCAAGGGTTAATCCCTAACTAACAGCAACAGTCAGCATGGCTGCTTCCAAGGGAGGCCACCAAAATCCATCAGCGGGACATGTGCCAGGGGTTAGGGTCACTTGGTAAAAAGATCGGGAGCACTAAGGAGACCAGTGAGTGAGAGATGACAGGATTACCTGGTGTGCTTCCCTCTGCTCTCATAGCTGTTTCCTCTGACCTGGTAGTCAACGGTGACGTTATCATCTCTGTGGATGTGGTCATCTCTGCTGAGGTGGACGTCTCTGCTGAGGTGGATGTCACTGCTGAGGTGGATGTCACTGCTGAGGTGGACACCTCTGGCGTGCTAGCGTGTAGCGTTGTGCTGGTTGGATATGGTGGGCTGGATGTTCCTGCTAAGGAGGTCATTAGTGCAATGGCAATGGACATGAGAATGGACATGAAAAGTGGAGCTGGACAATTAATGGGGGAAGAGAGCATGTCCTGTCATTCTGGGAGTCTCCCTGCATTGCAATCAGGTCTGGGAAGGAAGTCCAGGGGCACTAAAGAGAACAGTGAGTGACAGAGGACAGGGTTACCTGTTTTGCTCTCCTCTGTTGTGGTGTCCAATCTCTCTGAGGTGATCATATCAGACAGGGCGTATGACAGTGGTACAGTGGTAGTGGATGACACTGACATCTCTGGTGAAGAGGATATGTCTCCTGGGGAAGTCATTAGTGATGTGTCGTCTAGGGTCATCACTGGCACTGTGGTGGCCATCTCCACTAGGAAGGACTTCTCTGCTCTGGGGGATGGTGGCACCATGGTGGTTGACTGCAATGGGGATGTCGTCTCCTCTGTGAGGACTGTTGATGCTGACACTGTTGTCTCTCTCAGAGATGTCGTTGGTTCTGGACTTGTCTCTTCTGTGGAGGTTGTCTCCAGTGTTGAGGCTGTTGTATCTGTTGATGCTAACGTTGATGTCTCTCTTAGAAATATTGTTGATTCTGTGAGTATTGTCTCTTCTATGGAGGTTGTCTCCAGTGCTGTTGTATCTGTTGATGTTGGCTCTGTTGGTGTTGGATCAGACTCTTCTGTGAAAAAAAGAAGAAAAACACCCCACACATGAGCACTATGCAATGGGTATGTCTGTGTGGTAGCTACAAGCCCAGTTCCTCTAGGATGAAGTGAAATCAAGAACAATTACCCTGATGGCATAGTTCATATTTTCAGGGATCAGTGGAGAGAATGGAGGTGGATAATATCCAATTTAAAATTTTTATTGGAAGTGGCAGGTGAAGTTTTGGCGTGGCATCTGCTCTCAGCCCCAGGACACCACAGCCCAGGCACAGCCCGAGAATCTACAGGCTCCTGGCATGAAAAGGGGGACCTGTGGGGCTGCTGGCAGCAGCAGGGCTTGAACTTGTCCCCATTGTGAATGTCCTTCTGCAGAGGATCAGGACATCCCCAGGTACAATGGGCAGTGGTCTGTGGATGGTGTTTGGTGCAAGGGCAGGAGTGAACCAGGCTGAACCATCTGTTGAATACATGCAGCCTGTAGAAGGCATTGGAGCTCTGAATGCAAGCAAGAAATAAATGGCATTTAAAAAAGCTCTGAACATATCACACATAGATTAATAGAGGTATTGTAAGAATTTTTATTCTTTTTTTCTAAGTGAAAATCACTGGTGTAGTTGGCACTTCCTTCTAGCGTGGATTCAGCTCTCCAGGCTCTTACTCTCTAAGGAAATGTGGAAAACTGCTATATAAAACAGCTGAACAATCTGTTGTCATCAGCCATGTCTTGGTTCATGAAGATCTGTTGTTAATACATGAGGAAATAAGATACAAATAACCCACATTCTCCTAAAAAATAATGGGAAAATGAAATTAACACAGCAAGGTGAAAGAGTACTCAAAATGGATGGATATTTGCTAAGGAAAAAGGCATTAGTGGACCTAAACTAAGGAAAACTTGAAAAATACAGAAACAATCCAAAATTAATTGTGAGCTATGACAGTCTGAGTAGTGATTGTGAAATTATTATTGCCCATAGCAAATCCATTAGGAGTTGACCTAACCCCATTTCTCCCTGATAAATTGCCTATCAGACATAGCTTTGCCTCTAATTTTGAATAGTTTTCTTATTGCTACCACCAGGTGATTAGTTGGAATAATTGTTCTGCATATCTGCCAAGTGTATCTGATCCTTGGGGTTTTTTTAATTGCTTTGCATGGATGAGCAAGAACAGTTTTCACATGACCTGTAGTAAGAAAAACATGAGCCCATGCTGGTTCTGTAGGGTCAGTGGAGTGAAAGGACAGGATTGGGGTAAAAAACAATGTGGGAGTACCTGAACAGATAACAGAAGCATCTTCATAGTGGGCACAGTTGTGGATCCTCCAGCCAGTGTGATTGCAGCGCAGCAAGGACGCCTCATTCCCTCTGCACATCACGTTGTCCAGCACGATGTCACCCGAGCCTTGCCCAAAGTAGGCACTTCCTAGAGCTGCAATGGCCCTGCCACATCCCAGCTGCCTGCACACAACCACAGCATCTGCCAGGTCCCACAAGTCATCACAAACTGTCCCCGAACGTCCTCTGTAATAGATCTCAACACGACCTTCACATCGGTGCCTTCCGTTCACCAGCTGGACGTATGGAGCTTTGGGAGAGAGGACATGGGCACAAAACAATCATAAATAAGCTGGAAGGGACTGGAAGGAGCATCCGTTCTGCTTTCTTCCCCTATTGCCCCTAGAAGGTGTTTCCCAGACCAGTATTAGGTGCCCATGAGGACACCTAAGTGATTTGTACCATTTTTATTCCCCTCTTCCGGTTCTCAAAATCAGCTATGTATATTTTATGCAAGATCCCTGCAATAAAGGTAGGCAGCAGACTAAGCACAAAGGATTTAAGCAAGTAAAGAAATTTTTTGGGACAAGTTTAAGGACCTAGAGTAAACACATCACCAAATCCTATAGCTTATAAGAGTAACTTTAGTGGAAGAATTCCACTAAATGTTGTACAGAATGGATGATGATCTCAACAGGATTATAAGGATTTCAATAGGAGTTCAGTGGCTTTATTTCTTATATACCAGTAAAATGTCATTACATTTTGATAAAAATAAATAACCTATCATGTCTCCAGCTGATTACTGCATTCATTCAGGTAAAGCCTATCTGCTTTTCAGTTTTATATGTCTTGTTTAGACATTTTGGTGTGACCAGCATGAAAACCCTGATTTTAGAGATCCATTTTTGGTGAAGTAGTTTATTAAAGGCTTTACTACCAAGTGTAAGCAAGCAAATAAATGTTGTAACTTCGGATTTGCAGTATTTACACTCTGAAAATCAAAACATGCAGCTGCACTTGTTATATTTTACTCTGCTGCCAAGTACATATTTACCTTGTTATTAAACACTAAGTCATCCAAAGCAAAACAAATCTCAAAAGTTAATAGCTCCAGGATTTCTTCACTGCACCTAATTCTTTGCTATTGAGCTAGAAGTACAGTCAAAATGGTGACCAAACTAAATTTGCCCTGATTTGTATGACTTTCAAAGGGCAAAGCTATAAAAGTGCCCCTTGACTTATATCTGACTTGTTACTTCAAATATCTACTTGAACCTGCACATTTTTGAACCCTACTCAGAGGGTTCTTGAGAAGCGAAACAGCAAACCTGGCAAAAAGTCAGAGTGGGATTAGGAATTTAAAGCTGACCTAAACCAGTTTTATTTGCTTTCATTCAAGGCCTGTCATCACTTTGAGAGCATAACCATCAGCTGGGGATGAAATTGGATAGGTTGAATCCTGCCTCACACTTCAAAGGTATTAAAAAGACAAAGCCTGTGATTATACAAATACAGCAAATACTCTGCTCTGGGACACAGAGACAGAGAGCAGAGAAGAACTGGAGCAGCCAGGGTGAGATGGTTTATCACCAGAAAAACAGGAGATAGCTGAAGAGAATTGATGAGGTGAATGGTGGCAATATAAATTATCATCATGAAGCTTAAATAACTCATTAGCAAAGTCATCAGCAATTATTCTAAGATATACACAGAACTATTAACTCAAAGTCACCCAAACCAGTCAGGGTGACTATCACCCAGAGATAGAAAGTAATCATGGAAGGGAAAATTCTATGACCATAAAAAAAGTTGAATTAAAAGTATTTAATCTCTCATAATTTTTAGATGCCCATCATTTAATCACAGTTCTAGAGTGTGAAAACTTAACTTCATGTTATATTTTGTTAAATTGTAATGGTACATAGTACCAAGAAAAACCAAAAAATGCAGGTAATATAAAACAGATATCATATGTGTGCACACATATACTCCGGAATAAAACACACAATGAAAATAAGTAAAGAAATAAATCTTTCCATTATTTTTGGTTCAAATTTTTGGAACTGGAAGAATACCTCATTCACAACATACTCAGAGACACAATTCTTGCAATGATACAAGGCACTGAGATGAGTAGGACCCTATGGCAGGAAAATGAACTTTACAAAATGGTTAGAATCATTCTTATCATCCACTCTGATGATTAGTTCATAGTTTTAGCAGAACAAAACTCTGCTCTTTCATCCAATTCTCCCTTTTTTCTTTTGCCCAAACCAATGCCAGCCTGAACCTATTTTCTGCTCTTGAAATCAACAGAGATGACTCCAAGCAGTCTTTACCATTCTTTCAATGTGCCCTGGAACAAGTCTAAGTGTTTTACCTGTTTTGGCCTCCAGAACTGCTGGACCCAACAAGAGTAGCCATGTCAAAATCATAGTGGTACCCATCTTACCAGGTGTTGCTGGTAAAAAGGACCTCACAATATATAGTCTCTCTTTCTGAAGGGGAGTGGCCCTACAGGTCTCTTTTTCTACAGAAGAACAATAAATCAACCACAGTCCTCTGATCTGAAACAAACATATGTTTGATTTGTTATTTAATATTTTGTAACTTCCTGGGTTTTGCAAAAAGACAATATCTCAAGAGTAACATTTTCCGTTGCCTGGAAGGAACTATTTATGCTACCGTAGGTTTCACAATCATCTCATTGTACCAAAAAAAAAAAAAGAGAGCTCCTGTCCAAAGATACCTTTCAATTCTGGCTGATGCATCTCAGCATTTTTCTTTCATGAGGAGGTTCCTGGTCAGGTATTGGGCTGGCAGTGGAATCTTGAAATTTAGATGTGTTTCTTCCAGCAAAATAGCAAGAGACCCTTACCAACTAATGTGACACGTCTCCCTGGGGAGCCATGAATGGCCTAAAGCTTCAGCAGACTTTAAATAAAACAAGATCACACCTGAAGGTTTTCTTTCTTAAGTGTGACTGGCGGGTCTCTGAAGAACCTTGCAGCTGAAGTCAACAGCTCCAGCCCTAGTATAAGCCTATTTTTTTGGGGCACATTTAAATTCAAGCCTAAATTCCAGTCAAAATTCATTGACAGACAGATTGCAAAGAAGTGTCAGAGAATCAGGGTCAACTGATAACTTTTTGTGTAAAACACTGCGGAAAAAATCAGTGGATTTTATGCATAGTGAAAGAAATTACATAGGTTGAAACTAATTTTGTTCTAAAATTTAATTTGATCTTTTGAACCAACAAATTGGGGAAAAAAAATGTTGTAATTTCTTCAGATCAAGAATGTATTCCTTGTTTAATTTTTCATAGTGACAGTTACAGCTGCATCATTCTTTGAAGAATGAATCCAAGGCTTTTCCACAACGTGAAATAATGTTTAATCCTCGTTCATCACTCTCTTGCCAGAGCCGTTACTTTCCTCTGTTTCTGTGTTTCTAACAATTTAACAAGAAAATCTGATGATCATCCTAACACTGGAGAGTCAAAATATTGTTCTCCATCTCATCCCTACTTCCACAGCCATCATGTCTTGGATGGAATTATCACCAGTTAAAATTATTGCCATATACGAATTTATTACCTCCAGGAACAGTCACCAAGCAAGAAGACCAAAGCCCAGGGGGAAAAGAGAATGATCTAAAACATCTTTCCACAAAGGCCAATATCATTGGAATGGAAGAAGGAAGTGAAAAATAAAGAGGCCAAAGATAACTTTGGAAGCCTTGAAAGTGAACATTCAGAATGGTAAATATGTTTCTTCTTTATCCAAACAACCACATTTGCACATGAATGAGGATATGTACACAACACCTGGTATTCACTATTCATATTCTGGTTTTGACACCTTGACAAGAATGCAAAATCCCGTGTATTTGACTTGTCAATCAAATACTGCAATCAGTGAAGCAAGAGTGAGTGATGGATCACAGTTCTTTTCCAAACTCTTGTAATAACTGAAGAAGGGTGAGGAGGAAGGGGAACACGAAGGGGATTCCCAGATGGTTCAAGTGTAAAAAAAAGTCTTAAACCGCCCAGGTAAAACATCAGGATTGATTGTTTGATCGATTGATTGCTTGATTGATTAATTAGTTCTTCACTACCTTCTTCATTAATAAATTTTTAATTTCAGAAGTCTAGATATTTCTAGAGATCTTTATTATGAGACAATCTCTGCACAATGGAAATAGACAAATAATTTGTTTTGATTAACCTAAGTTAATTAATGCAAATACCATACAGTATATCACCCTTCCCACTGGCTAGGTAAATCTCTTGCAGCAACACATTTTTGTTCTCAAGGTCTTCTGGCAGCTTAAGGTATTTCCTAGCACTTTACTCTGAATGAAGCTACACTGAACTTTGAGAACACTTTTTCTTCTGCTGACAATTGAGGGCACTTTGCAAACATACTGGGTTTTTAAAGGTAAAAATGGAAACCACTGAAAGGATGAACAAGATTAATCAGCTTTCCCCCATGACTATAGGAAAGTATCTACACTGGAATAAGGATGTCCACAGACTTTTCCACAAAAGATTGAAAGTCTGAATCCAGGCAGGAAGGTTTGTGGTAGAGAGATCATTCACCAGGCATATGACCCTTTCCTCATCATCAAACTCAATATTCTTGAATCCTGCATTGCTATAATGCTTGTGGATCAAGGGATATAGCAAGAAGTGAGGAGCAGCCTGACACACCTACTACCTGAACACTTTGGCAACGTTTTCTGCAGAAATATTTAATATGGAAACCAGGGAACTTGGTAATTCTACCTTGCATTTTTATCCAGCCTTGGTATTTCTCCATCTGGGAGCCCTGGCACAGACATGCTATGGGAAAACAGCTCTGAACAGCACAGGGATGCTGAGGATTGGAGACACCAAGATCTAGGCCTGAGATCTTTCTTCTTGTCTGGTGAAAATAATATTGGAACATGCAAAAAAGTGCCATCAAAAAAATGCCACCCTGCAAGATGGTGTGGCAGCAACACCAGAGCAGCAGGGCCACAGCAGGAACAGTGGAAGGAGAATACAGCAATTCTGGGAAGAGCAGAGAGGAAGGTCCTGTTGTACAGAGTTGGGAAAGCCCAGGTCCAGGAGAGTCCCTGCTGTGCTGAGCAGGTGGCTGCATTCCTCTGAGCCTGGACAACCTCTGGTCCAGAGAACAGAGAAGGCAGGTCAGCCTGCTGAGGTGCTCTGCCCTCCAAAGGTGGCTGCAGGCAGAGGGGGAGGAGGACCCCAAATCCTTGTTCCTCCAGTGTGGAAAAAAACTCTCACTTCCTTTGTGCAGTGCCAGTTCCTACTTATGTGATCCCTTCTGTGATCCCTTCTTCACATCATGGAGTGGTGATGAGAAGCCTGCCTGCAATCATGGGGAGAAGGCAGCTTGAAGGAACAAACGGTCCAGGCTGTGGGGCTGGTTCCCATCAGAGCTGCCCTTATCCTCCTTGTCAGGGCAGGGTGTCACTCAAGAGCACAGCTCACCTTCCTCACACGTCACCACTTTGGCTCACCTTGCACATCTGACACTGCTCAGTTCCAAATGAACTTACCTCTTTCACAGCTGGCTGGAAAACAAGAAAGTCTCAAGAAGGGAATTTCTCAATCAATACCAGTGACCTTTCCACCTGTATTAAGCAGCTTCATCCAAATAAATTCTTTCTTTTTTATTTTTTTAATTTTGTTTTCACATAGGGATGGGAAACAGGTGACACTTCCTTATGGGAACTTATGTACATTCTCTCCCTCCCACCCATTCCAGGTGTAGAAATGTGTGAGAGCAATAGCAGGAATCATTGCTTGGCAAAGCCACTTTGTCAGAAGCCAGGTTCTCCAACCCGACATTGTGTTAGCCATGAGTTCACACACACACAGTGGGGTGTTTGCAAGTATAAAAAAATAAGTATTGCCCAAAAAACCATTTTTTTCCCTGCTTTTTTTAATTATAAATGCATGTAATGGGATTGTATTCATCCTCCATACAAAATCTTATAAATTGTCTACATTTACTCAGAGAAATATGAATTTGGGAAGAAACTTACTGCCCAAAGTGAGGAATGCTGTACAGTAATAATTCCTCACATGCAGTCCCTGAGCATATTTGCTTATGGCTCATTATTGAGATTTTTTACTGCAAAGAAACATTTTTCTTGTACTACTACCAGCGTATCTTATGGTGCCACACAGGTGTTTCATCTGCATATCAGCAAGGGCCACATGAATCAGTTCTTGTTTCTCAAGTCACCTATTTCAGTCTTCTCAGACAGACACTCAGTGAGGAGTTCAGTAGAAAAACTTTGAAATATCCAGTACTGAAGATACTTATTAGGATGCTGGGATGAAAGAATCAATCCTTTACACCTTAGGTTTTAAAATCAGGTTGCTTTATAAATTCAGTTCATGGTAACATCAGGTGTAATCTTGGTTCTTCAAACATGGTCTGGATGGTGGAATAGTCAGGAAAGAGCTGCCCTTCACACTGATTGCAAACCCAAACAATGAAGCAGGTGGCTGGTGAAAACATCCTTCCACCTCCACGCCTGGAGCTGCCTCTCACAGTTTCTGGTGTGGGATGGCCTCCTGCAGTTTCTGCTTCCAAAGAAATCCTCCCACTGTGAGAAGAGCAGCTACCAGCACCACGGTGGTCACAGCCAGAGGAACTTGGAAGCTGGCAGCAGGCACTGAGCTCAAAGTCTCCCCTTTTGGCTGAATGTCAGAGGCCAGCTCTGTGCATAAAAAGAGTCAGAGAGAAGCTTACTTCTTTTTTTTTTCCTCCTGAGCTAGTAAATTGTAAAGGTAATTAGGCAAAGAAAATTTGAGTTAAAGTGCTCTCATCTGGATCTGGTCAGAAAACTGCACATTGTTTTACAAATTATTCCATGGTCATGCAAAACAAGTAAAGATTGTGGCAAGAAATTAAAGAGAAGCTGGGAGTCTGTAATGATTTCATTCCAAGACCTTAAGATGTTGGTTTCTGGTAGTGGAAACAGCAGCTACAGGCCACTGAGAAACAGCATTTCCAAGAGGACCTAGAGACTGATTGTAAATAAATAACAGACATGCAAATCAGGCACAGACAGCTTTGGGAAATTAATATAAATCCAGCAGGGAGATCTCATCCCTCTTCCCATAGAACTGAATCAATTGCCATTTAATATGTGCAGAACAAAGAATGGATCTAAACTATGATAGAAAGGAAAGAGCAATAATCCCCCATGAGAATTATAGCAGAATTGTAAATAAACCAGCAAAGGCACATTTCAGAGCTGGATTTCATGTCTGAACTGAAATGCAAACACGGAGTAACACACAGAGTCTTACGTTATTAAAGATATTTAAACTTACTAATGTTCCTGTTCTCAGCGTGAGCTTCCCGAAGCTGCACGGGTCCAATAACAACATTCACTTGTTTATGGGAAGAATCTGCGTTCCTCTTGAACCTACTGACACAGCCTTGGTAGCAGCGGGAGGAGAAGTCGTGGTACCTGCACACCACCAGCTCACACCGCAGGAAAACCGACGGGAATCGGTTCACGAAGGGGAAAGAGTTAAACCCAAACCGAGCGACATCGCTGCGTGGCGAGGGGAAAAGAACGTAGGTGGAATCACTGGCACACCTGGAAAGACATAAAATCAACAGCTGTTAACTCACAGCTTCACTTGGGTAGAAGCACTGTTACACCCTCGCTTTGCAATGAGTATCAGCGTTAGATATAAAACCAGGAAGTAAAAGAGAAATCAAAAGGCTTGGGGGGAAAAAAGTGCTTTTAGCAAGAAGAGAATTTATTAAATGTACACAGCACAGAAATTTCATAGCTTAACAAGTTCTATGTAAACATGAATAGCTGAAAAAGGGCTAGTGGTTCTGCTGGTTTCTCTGTTTCAGGTGAGAGCTTGTTATACATTTATAAACAGGATTAACTGTTTGAAAACAGGCCCCCGAAAGTTGTTGCAGAAAGAGAAACTTCCCTTTCTGCTCTGGAAGCATAAAACTAATTTTAATACACTTAAAAAAAATAAACATTATCTTTAGTGCTTCAATGTTCTTTGGTGTAAAATTAGGCAAAGTGTTTCAGGTTTCTAGAATAATAAGAAAAAGCTAAGGGATTTATCTTCTTTTTGAGTAGACAGTTTTATATTCTAGTTATGATGCTGTAAAATGTACAGAAATGTAGAGCCATGGACATCTCTCCCTTTCATGCATCTATTTCAGAAACAAAGTCATACCTCGATTTCCACACTGCCTCCTTGAATGAAATCTCAGTGCTTGACTGCAACTTCTGAATGATATTTGGTTGTCATTCTGAATTTTATTCAGGCTTTGCCAAAAAGTTTTTCTTAGAAGAGCATTTGCCCTGAGAACTACAACCAATGTACACTGGTCCTAAATCACCTCATTTCACCAATTAGGCTCTTTTAGAACTACACATAGAGACACTTTAAAAGTAATTTTAAACAAAGTTCTTACCCACTTTTGGACAATTCATAGACCAGTGTTGTAAAATCACCAGAATTAGGCGATGCCACACATGTGTCCACAAACACCGTCAGATTTTGGTCAGAGCTGTGAAGAGAAGCTTGGAGGAACAAATTCTGATCCATGTCAACATAGTATGGGAAGTCATGCACTGGCCACTGGAAAGATGAGGAGTTGTAGAACGTGAGGCTCACGTTGTATCTGCCATACTGGGTTTTGTTGACATCAATGCCATCATCAGCAATGTACAGGACTTGAACCCAGGTGTTCTGCAGCATTTTGCAGCTGATGTGCAAGTGAAGGTCCTTCTGCCTCTTGATGACTCTACCAGGAGCAGACACTTTTATCACATTGGAGTAGGTGATTGTTTCGTTGTTGCCCTGTTTTGACACATTAAACGAGTCTTAAATCACCACATGTGGTCATGTTCACTGTAAATACTGTGAGTATTACAAACTTCTGTATGTGCCAGGTCCTAGCAGTCAGAAAGGACGTGTCACACTGAAAAATCCCAAGCATCCAGGATGGGACTGCTCGCTTAACTCTCCCCTCTATTTTTGTCCTCTAGAACATCATTCTGAAATAGATATAGGGAAGGATATACCTACCCTGGGAAGGATAAGTAAAAAATATTTAACCAACTTCAGCCTCCAGAAACACATGGTCCCTTTCTGTGTTTTGCATTCCTGTGGCCTACAAGACCCTTTTGCAATCCAAGACAATTTTCCAAATGTCTATTAAATTCCCATGCCCAGAGCTCTCCCAAATGTCTTGACACCAACCTGTCTATGTGTACCACAGTCACTGTATGAAATGTTGAATATAACCTCAGTTGATGTAATTTTTGGTCTACATTTAGGGTCTTCCAGGCTGATGCTCCCCACTGAGTAGCCCTGGGACTGGAGATAGTGTCTGTCTACCACTGCATGCATGTAGGTTGGCAAGCACAGAAGGGCTAGGAGGGAAAAAAAAATTATTAGTGATTTCAGGTGCTTGATAATACTTCCATATTGCAAGTCCAACAAATGCAATCACTGCTACCATTTAGAGAAGATAATTCTTAAGCCAAATCACTTATTTTTACTCTTGAAACTTAGATATGAGTAAGCAATAGAACAGTACTGGAACAGGTCACCCAAAGTAGTAGCTTTAAATATTTCATCCTTTGAATATTTCTAGACACACAGCTAGACCAATTCTTAACGGACCTGACCTGGTGTTGGCAGTAGCTTTGTTTTGAACAGCTGGCCTAGGAAACCTCCAAAACTCCCTTCTAACCAACATTTCTATGACTCTGTGAAAGTTGGTCCAGAAAAGTACAAAAATATACATTAATTATGATATGTTACAAAGAAATAGGTGTTTAGGAAATAACATAGAAAATCTCTAAGGGCAAATAAACTGAATATTTTTGAAGAATAAAAATTAATTATTTTCTGAAAGTGAGCAGTCAGAAATCACTCACAAATTCAAATAGGAATATCATGTATGCGGGATTCCTTCAACAACATTGACAAATAATTATTTAGTAAAAAATCCCAGTGTATAAAAGCTTCTGAGCCAAGACAAGATTACCAAGAGAAGAGAATTAAAAATAGAATGGAAATTTACTGGTGTTCTGGTCTGCTGGAAAGGACTGATACTGAGCCTGAAAGCTTCCACTGGAATATCTGGAGTCACTGTAAAACCTGACAGACATGAAGTTTGAAGATGAAGTGTACGTGAGAGGAGAACTAGAACAAATTCTTCCAAGCAGAGGAGAAGATTTGGGTGGCCCATCATAGATCTCAATATACTCATTCTGGCATCCACCTTGCAACCTGAGAAAGAAATGAGAATATATTAAAAAAATGCATTTGCTAAACTTTGGAGTTTAAATGCTGAACAAATGATATAATAGGATTCTGCAGCCACACATTTCCAAGACATATTTATTATTCATTTATAGGATGGGAAATATGCCCAGGAACTGTGGATGCAAATGAGATCTGGAATTTTCATATTGCCAAAGCGGAAAGCAGTTTTACTTACTGAATGTAATCAAATGTGAGTGCAATGCGGAAATTGTTTGTTACATGTATTTGCCACAAACAATCTGCTTTATCTGAAGAACTCAAAGAAGGACTCTGAAATGTTCCAGAGGACTTAAAAAGTGTATCACCACAAATAATTTTTTGACCTGAAAAACAAAAGAAAAAAATAAGAAAATAAGGGATAGAAGTGATTAATTTAGATTTACTTCTGCTCAAATAAAAATATATTCTACATACACAAACTGTTGCAACACAAGTTCAAATGTGAAAAGAAACAATGATTGTACTCTTCTCAGTTAAGATACAAGAGTGATTAACTCTTCAGAGAACTATGACCCATGCTTGCAGTTATTAACTTTGTGGGCTTCAGGCACGTAGGTATGAAATAAAATAAAAGGTGGTGGCCTAAATACCATAAAATCAGAGAATGAACAAAAGAAAATCTCCCATGTAATCAGCATACTCTGAAATCCACCCCCAACAATAGAATCACTCAAACACAAAAGACGAGAGTGTAGCAAATAAAGAGTTAAAGACACTAAGGATTTTTCCCAGTGTATTGTACTATGCAAAAGAAACAGATCACCTGCAACACAGTAATTATTATACTTCCAGAGTAATGGATGAGAGAAATGGGGAAAAAAAATCATACAAACATCTAAACCTGGAGGATTTTACAGAGGGGGCATGCTTGGGGGAGCTGTATGTGACAAAGAAAAGGAAGCAGGTGAGGCGCCAGACAATGAAGGAGCATGGTAAGGTTTCCTACCACACCTAGGGATGTTGGACCTACCCTGTCATTTGAGCAAAAGAGAGCCTGGAGGTCTCAGCAGAATGCTCTCACATGGTGGGATCAACCAAAAACATAACCATGCACTTATCCCAAATATACATCTAAAGTCCAGTCAACACAGACCAAAAGGATGAGGCAGCCCATGGCAGGGCCTTGGCATCAATCTATGATTTTCAGGGTGCCACAATTCTCAGTTTCAGCTGCATTCTGCAGTGATCTGCCTAGGCCCTGCTTGGCATTAGAGAAGATTAAACACTAAAATCGGAGGCAGTAATTCTTTCTGCAGAAAGCAGAAGGCAGAAAACGCAAGAGAAATTCAGACGCACCTGAAGGAGGGGAGATGGCAGGACTGGATGTAGTTGTGCTTGTGGCAGCGGTAGGGGAGGAAAGGAAAGAGGAAGGTAAGGCCTGTTGGATGAAGGTTTGTGACTGGCACTCTCCCAGTGCTGGGCAGATTACTGCCACCTAGGCACATGGGCAATGGACAGCCTGGGGATGTAAGCAGAATGGTCTATCTTGGTGAAATCAACCAAAACCATGAACTTAGGATCAACACCAACAAACACTAATGCCCAAATAACTAATAACACATTCTGAAAGTGTGCCAGCATGCAGGCAGTCAAATGAGTGGTACCTGAGCACACGACACCAGCATCTTCACTGTGGCGACAGTTGTGGCTGCCCCAGCCATGGTGGCCACACTGGAAGAGGGACGACTCCCAGCCTGCACAGCTGACATCGTCCAGGTAGATGCTGCCACTGCCTTGTCCAAAGGAGGCGCTTGATGTT